TCTTTTTGGAACTACAGAGAAAATAGAAGGGATGACTTGTTGTTATGTGCCTTCAGGGGTTTTCTTGATAAGTTTTGTTCAGAAGGGTTTTGTCTTTCCTCTGAGGCTGAGAGAGTGTGACTTGCCCAAGGTCACCCAGGGATTCCATGGCCAAGCAGGCTGGTACTGGTCGCCAGAGTCCAATGCTCAAACCACTACACCATGCCGGCTCTCTGCCTAAGAGGGAGGAAGAATTAGGAAAAGAAAGAGAAAAAGAGTGCACAGGTCTTCTGTGTCACCATTCTGGCTTTGCTTTTTCTGCAATCGCAGCCCCTGCAGAGTCTCTGTCAGCCAACCTGACCTTTCCATCCATTATCCAAAGTGCATGGGGGACACCATACATTAAGAGAAAGAGCATCAGTCTCCCTAGGCAATACACTTTGTTTCCATGTGCTGGTCCAGAAAACATCACCAGCACGGGGTACAACCAAGCTGTATTAAAGAAATGAGTCTGGTGTCCTCCTTGCAAGCCTTCTCTAGGCAGAGGAAGCCTTTTTTCAGTTTTGGTAGCCCTTTGAAGACTGACTGATCACGGACAGAGGGCCTTTATTAAAATGCTGTGCTATTTATATTCATACTCTCCAACATTTCGCAGACGAAATCTGGGACACATGGGGCCAAGCAACATCAGAGCGTGGTCAAGACGGCAAAGGTTTTGGGAATTACCATGAAAAGAGATTCCACTTAAACATTAGGAAGAACTTTCTTTTATTGTAGGAGCAATTTGACAGTGGAGTGGACTGCCTCGGAGAGGGGTGGACCCTCCATCTTTGGAGATCTTTAAACAACGGTTGCATGGCTACCTCTCAGGAGTGCTTTGGTGGTGGATTCCTGCATGGGAGAAGGTTGGAGTAATGGCCTTTGTGGTCCCTCTCCATCTCTATTAGTCTATCATTCTCTGTTTATACAGCTGCTTCCTTCCCCTTGACCAAGTTCTTCCTGCCCTTCAGGGAAGCACCACTGTTCACCTTCCATATTTGCAGAGCCTGGAAAAATTCTTTTCTAACCTGAGAAATATCTTCCTTTCCAGCTCCGTGATTCTATGAATGCATTCATCCATGCACCACTGGTGTCGACAGGGAACCAGAAAACAAAGTGGAGCCGCTCCAAAGCAGCTCACCTTCCGTTTCCGTAGAACATGGCAGAACATCCCCCATGCATTGTGCCCTTTGCTAATTAAGAAATGGAGCATTCGTGGCATGCGCGTGTGCTGCCTCAGGCCACAGAATGTCTGGGGTAGGTAAGCAGCGCAGAGAACTCCAATTGTGTCTTTGAAGTCCAGAGGAAAAACTCATTCGCGTTGCCACAGCAGTAAGATTTCTCTTTCCTCTCCCTCCATTCCCCCTTCCTCCTGCATCTCACAGGGTTGGTTTTTGTCTTGTTTCTCAGATTCGGAAGGGGATGGGACGAGAGAAAGAAAGTGTATGGAGGAAGACAGAATGAAGAGAGAGAAAGAGATGTCTCCTGTTCCTGGCTGAGTTGCACATTCCTTCTGGCCATGCTCCAGCGCAGCGTGTGTGTCCTCATGCGTGCAGAGAAGCCCAGCCAGCCACCGCACTGCTGTATTGATCAAGAGCACGCGGCAGGGATGAAGGGCGCACTTATGTTGCAATTAGTGCTGAAAGCGCCATCCCCGTTTCCATCAATTTGTTAATTAAAGATTTTGTGAAGTGTGGAGTGTGCGTGAGGTGTGTGTATGTTATTTCTAGTGGAACATTTCCTGCCAGGAGGGCTCCCAGCCTATGCTTTGGTTCTACGCGCTTTGCCTCTGTATTGATGCTTTATCTTTTCATTAAAGATTATTGTGGTTAATCCACTTAATATAATATCTGCACAAAGGAGGAGAAGCCAATGAATCAGAAAGATGAAATCAACACCTTCCTCTCTTTGTTAAGACAGAGGTCAGCAAGAAGATTCATAAGAATTGGAAGGAGCATCTGGTTCATTCCCGTGCCCTGCAGAAATAGACTACTAAAGCATTTCTGAAAGATGAGCACCCAACATCTGAGAGATGGGCACCCAACAACTCAAGGACCATCTATTCCAACCTCCTGTCCTGCAGAAAATATACAACAAAAGCATTTCTGAGAGACGGGCACCCAATAACTCAAGGACCATTTATTCCAACCTCCTGTCCTGCAGAAATATATAACAAAAGCGTTTCTGAGAGATGGGCACCCAATAACTCAAGGACCATCTATTCCAAACTCCTGCCCTGCAGAAATATATTTAAAAAAAGCATTTCTGAGAGACGGGTACTCAACTTCTGCCTTATACTGAGTTCAATAATTCACCTAATACAGGGATATAGGAAGCTGCCTTATACAGAGTCAGATCCTGGGATAGTGGTTGTCCATGTAGTCCAATATTGTCTCCTCTGACTGGCAGCCATGCTTCTTCAGGTATCAGACCAGGTTCTTGCCCAGCTCTCCCTTCTGGAGAGTCTTTCCTCCTGGTGGTATCTTATCCAAGTGTTAACCAGATCTAGCCTTCCTTAGCTTCTGAAAGCAGACAAAATCAGATGTGTTTGGAGGTGTTGTTGTTGATTCTGGGAGCACCTTTTCCAAACTTGGACTAAAATTAGGGCAGGAGGAGCATTTCTCAGCTGAAAGCTGCTCTTCAGACCTAGTGGAACTGAAGGGAAGAATGCACCAGAAGTCTTGAAGGTAGGGGAGGTTTAAGGCAAAGAAATGGACATGGCTTTCTGGTGGCCAGGAGCTAAAGGTTAGTGGCACTGAAGGGAGGAATGCTCCAGAAGCCTTGAAGGTATGGAAGGTGTGATATGACTTTCTGGTGGTCAGGAGCTAAAGGTTGGTGGCCTTTGCCCCTAAAGTAGCTTCAGGACAGCTTGGAGAGACAGCCTCCCTCACTGACAATCAACCAGGTCTACTCCCCTGGTGAGGATCATGTAGCCATCCAGATGGTGGATTGCCACACCCAGCATTCCTCACTATTGACTATTCTGGTTGGAACTACTGCGAGCTGCAGTCCAACAACCTCTGGATCCCCAGCTGTGGAAGTAGGAGCTGTTTATCTGTCTAGAGGCACCCTGAGCATGGAGGATAAGAAATTAGCACACAGCCATCCATCCCAAATCACTTTTACTAATGTTATTGCTTACCTGTCCAAATCAGAACAGATACTGCAGTCAAGAAATCAGAAGGAGAGTAGGAATAGGAAGGGCAGCTGTGAAAGA